CGTCCTCCATACTGCTAGTATCAGTAATGTCGATAGCGTAATGTTTGTAGATAGAAATAAGAGAGATGTTAAGTTTTGAGCTCGGAAAATAAATAGAGAGAGATGTTTTTCGTCTTGTCACGAGCGTGAGAGCGTGAGACATCGGAGTATCGATTCGACATAGAGCATCGAAGCGCGGAATCCGAAGGTCTGAGGTTCGGTTCCTCAAAGGACTCAGAATTTTTTCTTTGTCTCACGCTCGTGACAAGACGAAAAACTATTCTCTCTTCATCATGAATATTTTCATGAGGTATGACGGTGTCCAATTCTACAAAAAGTAAATAAAACCTTTAGTGATGAAAAACATAAAAATGAACAGGGCATGATATACAGTACATGCGACAAGTTTCCAATGTCTTTAACAAAAATGGAACTGGCGAAACTGCCCCACCCGAATCTATTTTAGCCAGAGCTCAGTTGTACAAAGGGTGGTTAACACGATCCAAAGGAAAAATCGACATCCATTAGGTAAGTATTAGCAAAACACTCGCTATCTAAAGGGTAGAGACTTATCCAATAGACGGTTTTGTTCACACTTTGAAAGACCGGGGCCAGACATTAATTAAGATTTAAAGAAAGATCATCCTTTAGTGTCAATCTTGATTGCTTCGTTATTCTGAGGACAGTGACTTGTATAAGAAACTTACCATCATAATTGGGTCTTAGCCTCAAATCATAGTGCCCCTTCATCAATAGTTTGTCGAGAATTTGAGAAACAGTCTTGTTACTTGCACTGTAGTTTCGAAAGACAAAACAGAGAGTAACAATTTTAGTGATCAAATTATTACTATGTCTTCCAAAAAAAGACACAAATGCCATGTTTAAGCCTAAACTATAGCTAGATACAGTAATTCCACTCCAATCTATGTAATTCCTCCAATCGCACTTCCTTCTCAGTCAACACCAGTCTAGTTAATCCTTATCAGTCTACATATCTTGACAAGCCTCCATATTTATTCTTCAGCAATGAATAGCAAAACAATCAAGCAAAACTCTATGCACAAAGGTACCGCTTTCTACGATAAAAATCTCTGTCTACGAATACAAGAAAATACAAATTTCCCGCTGTGTGTTTCTTATGGAAAATGAAATTTTGTATAACCCATAACTGCACTTTTGCAGTATTTTTGAGGCAATATCGAGTCCAGCTTTCAAATCGTGTCGATCTCGGAGTGAACGGTAATGATTGACAACAGGCACATCAAATCTATAGACTAAAGGAAAAGAGCGTTTTAAAAAAAAATTATGTCTACCATAGACGGGCGAAAATTGCTCCTGATCCTAATCTCTTGTTTGGTTTTATAATCTTTCAATCATGGCTTCGTCTGTAAGTAATCCATTTCAATAAGGTGATCGTTATCAAGATTTTCTACTTTACTTTAAAACCTGTTTCCCAAGTGATACTTCAACTTGTGCTTAGTTACACGCACTACTTATTGTAATCTTTCGCAAGCGATCTCGGCAATAGTTGAGCGTCACCAGATCTTTGTTAAACTTTGAGAAAAAATATGGAAGAACAAATGCTAAAAATTTATATGATTGCCTTAAATGTTCTCGGCATGGATCAAAGGGAAATCTAGGAGGAAAGTTTTCCTCTCAAAATTTTTAAGAGAGAAGCGCTGGTGCATTGATAAGATAACACACCTTTGAATACAGACTCTGGTATCTTAGCATCAGACCTCGCTTTTCATTCAACGTTAAAGCTTTGCATCAAAGGCTTAGTGCCGCGCCGTGATTCTAGCTCTATCCTCATAGATTTTGGATCACCCTTTTCATCCATCAATTAGTGAGAAAACCTAGATCTATATTAATGTATATTTCCAATTTCACATTCCATTTTAGCGAAGGACGCATAGGAAAGTATTTTGATTCCGAAGTAAAAGTAAAATTTTCATTTACATTCCTTCATTCGATACCACGTTGCTCTTGCCCCTCAGAATCGGCAATAAAATCATATGCCAGTCTTTTTGTTAGTTTTCTGTATACTTTCTCCCTCACACATCCCCACTCCTCTCTCTGTATCCTCTTCTGTTCTGTATGCCAGCGTGAAACTACTCGCGGCAAGATCATGTGGACATTGTAAACGCTAATTCTGGAACAATAGGTGAAAGATAATTGTAACAGCTCTTTCCCTAAACTGTGTTTTTGGAACGCCTTTTTTTCGTTGTAAGTTATGACTAATATTCAGCTCAAAATGGCTTGCTTCCTGTTTGGTATAATGTTTTATCGCCTGTTGTCTCTCAGTGTTTCTTTATCCGCTCGGCTGGTGTGTACTGATTATGTACCGCCACACTAGGATAAAAGCGAGGCTGACTAACAAATTATAATAGAAAAGTAACAGATGTAAGTAGGAAAGACGGCGAATTGCAATTAATTGAATCAAGTCCACGCGTAATACACACACCAAGTTGTAATGCAGTTGGCGCCGAGCAGCGGACGTGTTAAGCAAGTTATTCGTAAATTTAAACGTGTTGGATTAAACATTATTACGTGACCCACCTGGCGCTTTCGATGCAAAGAAATCCAAGGAATATAAATTTTAAAGTGAAGCTACTTCGATGTTTCATTGTTCCGGTCTTTGTTTTTCGTAGAGTTTGACAGCAGTGTAAATCATCCGTGTGTCGATTTAAAATTTTTAGTCCCAGGACTTCACTTTGAAGCAAAACAGAATTAAATATAGATTGGAAAAAATTAACAAGGCCAATAAGAAATAAGCGTTGCTTGTGATTAGTTTTCTAAGGTCCATTATTAATGAAATGGAAAGTATGAGAAGACGTACCGTAGACAAATCAACGCCCCGTTGTCGGTGAAGTCAACAAAAAGTAAACAAATCCATTAAATTTACGAACCCTGACAATACTGTGTAATTGATACACACAGCAAGCGATAAATAACACAATGGAAAGACCGTTATTTCACTGCTACCTCATTTACAAACGTTTGTCAATCGCTCACAAGATGCATTATATTGAAGCGTTTGTACTTCACAAAATTAATCAATTATTCATGGTACTAGAGACCTAAATTTGCAAAACATTTCGAGGCCTTTGAAAAAAACATGCAGGGTTCCACTTGAGTTTTCTTTCTTTTACTTTTTCTTTTTTTTTTCTGGGTTTATTCGGTCCCCTAGAAAAAAAACTCACGAAATGAGATAATTCGATTAAATATTCTCCTATTTTCGTAATGAGTCTTCGATTGTCCTAGTGTCCTTGTCGTAAACATTAAAAGTGGCTGATTAAAACCACATTAAATTACTCGCAGCAGGTGGAAAGTGTTATCTCATTTTACATATTTTCCCAAAGAATTCATCTTATAACAACATCTTATGAAAACAAACACAACCAAGCACACCCGCGATGTACCAGTCAAAGCCAAGAAGAGGGAAATTTGCAACCACATTAAAGTGAACCTCGAAAGAGTTAGCGTGAACTGAGTTTGTGCTCTCTTACCCTTACCTTTTAGTGCGTGATCACGTGAAGACATTTTCATTCTTTGAATATTGAAGTAGTTGATTTATTTTTTTCTATCTTAAGATAGGAAAAAGAAGTGAAAATCATTGATAATGCTACAAATTCGTACTTGTGTCAAACGAAGATGAAGGAAGTAAACCGTAAATGCAATTGAACCTCCGATAAAGTCCTTGATGATAAAGTCCTTGATGATAATCAGTTTATCATCCTTAGATATTCTTAACATGTCTTAGGCATGTGCAGAAAAGAGAAAGTGTAGCAACTGTTCCTTTTTATATTAGGGCCGGTCAACATATTCTCAGTTAGGAGAAAATTGGTCAATGATCATGGTTGTGAAAGGAAAATTAAGTATGCAAAGCGAAATTTTGTTAGCTCAAATAGAGCCTGTAGCATAACATGACAACATGTTAAATCTACGCTGTGTATTGTATCCCATAGATCTAGATATGCCGTTATCTTTGATTCTAACGGCAAGCATTTGCTATTAACGGAATTTAGGTTAGAGAAAGCAGGGGTCAGTCTTTTATGGCTTCACCAAGGGAGTCTTTAATATGAAAATACCATGTCAAGTCCCAAAGTGTATTGACAAACATAAACAACTTTACTTTACTCTCCTTTATTTGTAAGGTAAAAGGAAAAACAACTTATATTTTACTACTACCTCGATCAAAACGCTAAGTAATAATGTAAACCACTTTTATACACATTTATGTGGATTTTGTTGATGTTTATCGACGTAGTGTTTTCTTTGTTGTGGATACGACCTCTGGAGTAAGTGTTTGCCTTCAGCTTGTCAGTGTTGAGGGTGGTCGAACCTTGTACCAAAAAAAGCCCCAGGCTGGATATTTATCAGAACTAGTAATTTGGCTGTAACATCACCAAACCATCATTTATTTACCCATGATTATATCTAAACAGTCTTCATTATTTCATCGCTTTTTTCCTTTCAGGATCCCTTACTAAAGAATAAATTTATGTTTCTAATAAGAGATTAAAGCAAATATTTGCTGAAACTCCGTCCTCCTGGGCAAACGGAATGAATATGATTATTTAATATGAATGGATTCTTAGCTCAACATTTGGCAGTTCGATTTAGTTACTTATAAACACCCACGCACGATGAGACGTAGGGGAAGGATTATCCTTAGGTAAAGACACATCTATTTCTCCACTCAGGGATGTGGAGATTCAAGCAAGAAAAGTGATCAAATGTTGGAGGCAACATGTAACGAACTAACGTCCTATCAGGGGATAGTTGTTACAACGCTTTGTCGCTTCATGCCACGAAAGCGATGTAAGCTCTGTTTTTACGTGTCAGTACGCCTCTGTGCTGGATTGCTTGTTCGCTTGTTTATCTTTCTTTTCGATCAAACACTTCTCTAAGAGGAAAAACTAACGAGGCGAAAGGGAAAGAAGGCTTTGAACAGCCAAAGCCTTTACAATACTGTATCTTTGGCGATAGAAGTCCAGTATATGAGGTTAAAAATACCAAAACTGACTGGAAATAATACAAGTGAAATTTCGTCCACTGCCAGAACACTGGCCTCTGTGTACAAATTCTTTCTCCATTTCTCGAGGCTCAGCCATTTGTTTTCAACACTTTTATCTGCAGAAGGATCACTTATCATCAGCTCTTGCTCCATTTTTGCAAATTCAACCATCTCCAGCTGCGGGCTGCAGATCTTGTCTTGCTTATATCTCTGTGTAATGAACAAAAAGAAACAAGAATGGCAACTAAGGGAGGTTGTAAACGATGGTAATGAACGTCTTAGTTTCAAATATGTAGGATTTTATAATTTATAAGATATTGCAAATTTTCCTTTTCCACATTTTAAGTAAGAATTCGCTCAAGCGCAATAGATAATGCCGAATAATTGATGATTTGTTTTGCTTAATTTAAAAGTGCACATGAACAGAGGATCAAGTTTGACTTGTGCGTTAAGGACATCCAAATCCGCACTTAAAAGTTATTTCAGTTCTTTCTTCCTTGTTCGATCACAAGGCCTCTACATCAAGCATGCTTTATCTTTACTAATCATAGCTGTTACAATTTCCTTATATGTGATTGGTGCATTAGCTTCTTTATTTTTCATTAATTATTCTGCAGAGATGCAATCGGACAGTGGAATCAGACAGTCGGCTGTAATCGGACACCTGTAATCAGACAATTAAAGTGGCTAAATCATACTAAGTCCACTCAGCTAAGTCCATCAATCGCACATTCGATTACAACGACCATAGCAAACAAGTACAAACCCTACAAAACTAGGGAATTTCCAAAATGAAGTAATTTTTTACACGAGATATTGGCTCTACTAGAGATATTTTCTGAATTAGATGGATTTTCTCATTTGGAGTTGTAATGGTGTAATTAATAATATTGATAACAGGACTTAGTGGCGATCAACTCGGTCTATAATCATACTCGGGATTGAAAAATCACCCGAATGATTACATTCCGAGCTGGATTCCATTCGGTCCTGTTGCCATTACAAATATACTCTAATGCACTTTACAACAACTTAGGGGGAACTTGATAAGACTGCATTGAGCAGTTTACAATTTCAAAGGAAATTTGCAGGCGCCCCGAAGTTCTGGAAATAAGGTTAGACCTCAACACTGGGAGCTACATTCACTACTTTCTGCGACAAGTCCATATTTTCGTTTCTCTTGTAACTAGTTAAGAAGGTATAATCACGCTTGGGCTTGATTCGTACCTCGAAGAAACGACTGAGTAAGGAACGTGGATAGTAAAGAGATTCGATCTCCATTCCATTAGAAAGACTGGAGTGTTTCTTACCCTAGAAACGGCGACATTCCCATTACTGATTGCTCTGTTACTGCAAGAGCATTTTGCAATGTCTTTGTCATTGCTCTTCTGGTGATTGTCGGATTCTTTATATTTTTTCATTCTTCTTGCCAGAAACAGCACCAGTGAATATTCTATCAAACTTGCGAAAACGAAAAGGAAACATCCGATCAGGTATTTGTCGATGGTTTTGACATAGTTCACCTGTATAGAGAATAGCAAAGGAAGACATTAGTGACGAGCTACATTGACGAAAAATCTACCATCCTCAAGATATTAGACATCCTTCCTTTGAATGTAATGCCTTGCAATGAAAACTAAAAGCAAAAGTCAGTCTGGCAAAGCATTTATTTAGCTTCACTCTCACGTCCGATACACTCGTGAACAGTCAAAGCCAAGAGCGTTATCTTAACTAAACAAATTACTTACTTCGGTATATATATTTCTACTTAATTCACCAACTAAAGCTTGTTTTCTATGGATGCCGTGTATCTCATATATAAATTTGAGATGGAGTAAATGCTTAAATTGACTTAGCGATTCTGTCTTTCTAATATTACAGTAGTAGAATGTTCCAGAGCATTGCACCACTGTAACTAAAATTATTTTTGAGACCGTAAGTCCGCGGGAAAAAGGAACGTTAAGTTTGTTTACAGATACCGTTAGGAAATAGCATGTTTCACTTCGTATAATGGATTTGGACGAGAGATACTAGAACTTTACTCGCTAATTCGAGTTAGTTAGATTTATCAAGGATCGTTCATATTTTACCTTTGGCATGGAATTGTTGAGTAAATTAAGAATGGTAACAACGGTTAGGACAGAAGTAACTCCCAGTGTGACGCGCGCAGGAGGAGAACTGCGGGGCAGCACGAAAGTGATCCAAGAAATGATAACGATCAATGCACATGGGCCATACACGTGGATTACAAAGTAGCTTGACATTCGTTCAAACGTAAATGTTGCCTTTATACCCGACCAGTTACCTGGTGGGGATAAAAAAGAGAATTGTCTTTCCTGGGGAGAAATTAAAACTTAAATATTTTGATCTAAACTTTTAAAACGGGAGCTGTGCGTCTTTCTTTACTTCCTGTACGTTTTGTTTAGACACATCTTTTGGGTTCTGACGAATGGTAATGTATAGTTGGGATACTTGTTAGGGGTCGTGTTTTGAGCTAAACAAAATGATAAAGATTACTTTTCAGCCATCTGCGACTGTAGTAGGTTAAAATTATTTTCTGACTGGTAAGCCCTTTCCACGCTTTGCCTAACGATTTATCAGGTGGCTTCATCTCCAGACAAGTCGTTGCTACGGATGCGAAAGGCCGAAAACACTTTACGCGCTGAAGTGTAATCAAGAAGGGACACAGGAAGACGAGACATAATTCGGTGCGCAAGACAAGTGAAATCATGTGCCCAGCTTGTTTAAATAATTAATTGCAACCCTAGAGCATTATAACTTTTGCTTTCCAATGTTATAATCTGAAATTATATCGACGAAGTAGATACTGTTTGAAAATGTTGCCACCTGTATAAATTAACTTTGACTAAAAATCCTACCCAGTCACACTCACCGACTACGTATTTGTTGTAGGTCTTTTCCAGACTGAGCTGAGTTAATCGGTATTGAGGCAGCATTTTGGTGCTTCCGGGCACAAATGACATTCCATCTGTGAGGTCATTCTCCCATCTGAATCTGATGTGGTCAGCACTATAGCCATCTATCGATAAAATCATATCAGCGTCAAGAACATGAGAACATTGTTTTCTCCGAATCATTCTTATAATCATTGAGGTGTTGCTAATATTTCTTTCTTGATTGCCATAAAGCCTCTCACTTGTAATCGTTACAAAGAAAAATTTAGGAAGAAGAAAAAGTGATTATTGAGATACAAGTGGCGCTGCCAACCCCAGTCACAAGAATTGAGTGCTTCCTCAAGTTAATGGCTCCACTATCAATTTTGACAGCGATAAGATTAAGAAAATCTCCACTGTTCACTGCCTACCCCTTTTGCCCCAACTCCTCCACCTTATTCCACTTTGCATCTGTCTCCTCCCACTTCTCCTTCTCTGTCCTCCCGCTTCTCATTCTCTGTCCTCCCACTTCTCCTTCTCTGTCCTCCCGCTTCTCCTTGTCTGTCC